GGAGCCGGGCCACCGCCGGGGGCGTCGCCGGCCTCGGCCCCTTTGTTCTCGCGCGCGCCCCCCTCGCCGCCCACTCCCCTGCTGTCGCGCGGCCGCGGCGGCGGCGGCGGCGGCGGCTCCTCCCGCCCGCCCGAGGCAGCCGAGCTCCGCGCCGGGGGCGGGAGGGGGCGGGGAGCGCGCCAGCCGTGGAGAGTTGGGGGGCGATGGCGAAGCTCAGGGTGGCTTACGAGTACACGGAAGCCGAAGACAAGAGCATCCGGCTCGGCTTGTTCCTCATCATCTCCGGCGTCGTGTCGCTCTTCATCTTCGGCTTCTGCTGGCTCAGTCCCGCGCTGCAGGATCTGCAAGCCACGGCGGCCAACTGCACGGTGCTGTCGGTGCAGCAGCTCGGCGAGGTGTTCGAATGCACCTTCACCTGTGGCACCGACTGCAGGGGCACCTCGCAGTACCCCTGTGTCCAGGTATACGTGAACAACTCCGAGTCCAACTCCCGGGCGCTGCTGCACAGCGACCAGCACCAGCTCCTGACCAACCCCAAGGTAAGGACGCGGGAGCCCCCGCCTGGCGCTGTAGGTTCGGGGCCAGCGTCCGGGTTAGACCCCGGAGGGAGGCTCAGAGCGTTACTGCCCTTGCTAGCGGGGATAGGAGGCGGGAGGTGCGTGCTCGCATCCGCGGAGTCCCAGAGCTCCCCTCCTCAGGGTGTGTTCGCCCGCGGGGCAGCTACCCAGAATCTCTCTGCAAACACTGATCTCTTCTGATGTTAGATTTCTGAGTTCCACAACCCAAACCCACGTCCAGCGCCCGCAGGACGGGTTTTGCCTAAACCCAAGGAACAAAGAAAGTTAACTTTTCCTTCGAACGTGGCCGTGGGATAGCGGGAACTCAGCTACTCCAGAATAGGGTCAACAGCAGCCTGAGTTTCCTCTGGCCTCAAGAACTCCCAAGGACACGCGTGACCTGCTTTGAGAGGTTGAAGGGGTCTTCGCTCCTGGAAAGTTCTTGCCTTTGAGTTGTGATAAGAGGTTTTTAACTTGAGGTCTAAAGATGGCCTTTGCGGGGTAGGGGCGGGGTCTCAACAGTGACCAGGAATCCAAGGAGAAATTCTGATTATGTCGGTTTTGTTGTTGTTGTTGGTGGTGATGATGATGGTGGTGGTGGTGGTGGTGGTGGTGGGTGGATGGGGGCGTGGGAGAGGTCCTAACCACTCTTGGGTGTTTGGGGACAGTCAGGAGCAGTGGGAGAACAGTAAAACTCACTGTTTTAGAAAAGTCCTCTATGAAATATACCAAGCAGCCTTTTCCTGACTTTTGTTGTCGCAAGCAAAAAAAAAAAAAAAAAGAGGAGGAAAAAAAATAGATAAAACCTGGTTAGGACTTGCAAGAGAACCTCGGGAGAGCAGAGAGGGAGACTCAGAATACTTCCCAGGGGAGAAAAGCGCTTATAAAAAGCAGTGTCCTCAGTCGGTGAACTAATTGAGCTTTGCGGCGCACCTGCTTCTGCAGAAGGTTCTTTGATGCGTTTGGTCCTTCCTGCTGCCAACCAAAGGTATGTATATTTATTTAAGTTACTGACTCTTTTTTTACTTTGTGAGAGCTATGCTAGAAGACAGGAAATCATTCCAGAGAAAATGAGCCCTGTGCACACAGGAACACACTCTTAAAGGTGACAAGATACATTCATCCAAAACCTGAATTAATAGTTTAAACAAGCTCACCATCACTGTGCAGAGAAACTCAAGCATAACTCATTAATTTGGAAAGTTAGAGGTAATTACTCTTTAAAACTATGATTGACTCCTCATTGGAAAAGTCTCCCGGTAATGCATGAAGAATCATTTGCCTTAAAAATGAAGATAATGCAGGGACAGTAAATATATAAATAAACATTTTTAATACAGGCTAAATGACCAAGCTCTTGAACAACTGTTAGGTCTCAAAGACAGATGTCAGTTGATCTGCTTAGTGCTTGGGAATTTAAAAAGAAGTCTCATAGTTTTAGAAAAACTTTTTTTTTTTAAATCAAGTGGTAATTTCGTGATTTAGAAGACATTCAGTAGTTGGCATTTAGGAGTGGTCATGGTTGGTGAAACACTGCTCATCATTTTTGAGTAGTGGTGTAATCAATAATAAATTATACATATGCATAGACAGACGTGATAGTAGATGCTTAATATCTAAATTTGGCATAGACAAATTAGAATTTGCCACATAAGGTGACTTACAGTTTCCAGGCAGTTTTGCAGGATCTGGCAACAGAAATAAATTGGAATCATTTAGGACATGATTCTTAAATCACTTGGAAGCAATCATGTTTTATGTAATATTAAAGTTCTCTCTGTGTCTCTCTCTTCACTTGCAAATAATCCCAAAATTTTTCTGAGATTATTTTTTTCTCAGTGCCGGTTAAGAACTTGGCAATAGTTACTCTGAGGAAGTACCAAACAAAATTGTAAGGTAGGCTATTCACAAAGTTGTCAGAACTGGAAAAAATGACATATTTTATGATCCAGAAAGTGATGAATGACCTCTCCATCAATTTATGCAAGGTTTCCTCTGCCAGATATCCATCTCTTTGCCCAAACTATGATGCATTATAGTATTTATAGAACAAACATCACTTTTTTGTCAATTAAGTGTTCGATTTGGAAATGTTTGTAAGCACTTAGTGATGGGAAAATTCGGGGTAACCAAAGCATCCTGGACGGGTAAGGCACATAATAAAATTAGGTTTCCACAGTGTCCTCGCAACTTAGCACTCCCCACTCCCCGGTCCTGCTGCATGTTGGCTCCACAGAGATGTGTCCTACCCAACTCTTAATTTTCCAGTGTATTCCTTTCGTGTCCCATCCACTTCTCACATTCTCTCCAAACCCAACCGCCGGAAGAAATTCCCATATAAATAGAGCCAGTACTGTGTTCTGGACTTCGCTAAAAGTATCACAGCAGAAGGCGGGGAGGGGATGGAAGTTACAGGTACATAGATTTTTGAGCTCTAGACCTCTGAGGAAAATGCTGGCCTCTCACTAACAACTCCTTTATAGTACCTAAGTCCTGCTCATTAAGTCGTTCTTTTCTGAGGGAAGCACTGTGTCTAGTGACGTAGTATTCCAGTCAGTAGGGGCTTGACTGGGGAGATGATCCGCTCTGTGGACTGACCATGGCACAGCCTAGGTTTTGGAGTTAGCGTCTTCTTCGCCTTGCTACTGCCCCCAGCTTGCACTGCCTCTCTGAGACTCACAGTTGCAAGCGCTGGAGTGGTCTGTGGTCTTCGCCTATGGCTGAACTGTGCGATTACTTGGGAACTTTAAAAAACAAATTCTTGTGCTTAGGTCTAGTTTTCAGACACGTTGATTTGGTCCTGGAAGGGGCGTGAGTCTAGTAGCTTTCAGAGTTGTGCAAGTGACTCTAATGCACATCCAAGAAATGAAAATCAGCGTCTTGGGAAATGCGCTCATCTGCTCTGCAAGAAAAGCGCTGGACTTCAGAATGAATTCACGGTGATTGATGTTCATGGTTTCAACATAAAAGATGTAGATGATGCTGACTGTAGAAGGCGGTATTAAAGTAGGGACTCAGAGAAACGCTGAAGGGAAGAGAACCACTTAAGGTTAGTGTAGGAAGCTCGTTTAAAATCGATTAGTTTGAATGAAACAGATGTGCACAATTGCAAACAGTTACCTACTTCGGATGGCAAAGAAAAGCTAAATTTAGGAAGTGCCCTGTGGCATGTGGCGTGAGAATGGGAGATCAGAGACAGATCCATGTTTAAGTTTTTGTTTGGAAGGGGGTTTTTACCCTCTTTGATAATGAGAAACCTAAAAGCAAACAATAAGTCCTTTTCTAAGAAACCAATGCTTTGGAACTGAAAAGAGACAAAGAAAACCTTAGCAGTGGCCGAGAAAGGCTTTTGGCTTGAAGAACGACATCCAAGAAGGCAAAAGAGCACAGGTGAAGGCCTTGTGGCTGCCAGTCACCTTGGTGAAGGATCTTCAGACCCACACACATGGACCCTGTCCCCGCGCATGTAAAGGCAGTGTGTCTCCTGGGAAGATTCCTGAGCTTTGACATGTATGGATGTGTTTTGTGCTCTAGGGAGAAATCCATCAGACCAGAGCTTCATAATGAAAAGGTAGTGGAGTTGTGCCAGCACCTTTAGTCTTCATTTGTCAATGAAGAAATGGCTTTCTTTGGATTTTTTTCCCTTTGATGATGTTATTAAATAACATATATAAATTATATATAATTATATAGAGAGATAGATGATAGAGAAGCCAGATGATATAGATAGATAGATAGATAGATAGATAGATAGATAGATAGATAGATAGATTGATAGATTGATTGATTTAATTGAGCTTCTGATTTCTTAGAATCTGTGGTGGCCAAAGAACAAGTCAAAAGCTGGGCAAGACATGTAAAGATGAGCTTGTTCATTTAACAGTTCGCTGTGCTGTGTGTACTACTCGCTTCCAGAACAAAACAGAGATCAGAGTTCCTGCACTCAGAGAGCTGGCATCTTGGCACAGGAAACAGGCCTAAGTCAATTTACAGTGGAATTTCGTGTAGTGGTGGAGTTTTACAAGTTTTGGCAGGGTGAGAGCATAGGTAGTGTCAAGAGAGACATGGACTGCCCTTGTGAAATGCAAGATGCTCACAGCAAGTGGCTCTGATGAAATGGCCATTGCAGAGGGTGGAAGCTGTACAAGCCCCCAGAGACTGAAAGGACAGAGAGAAACACGGTCCTTGGCTCTCTGGAGAAAGACATTTCCACAGATAGTAGGTGCAGAGATCATGGGATGAGCAGCCACTAGGTTTGTTAGAGGAACAGTGGGTCCAGCAGTGTGACTGGGCCACGGAGAGCCAGGCCTTGGGCAGAGGGAGGTGGCAGTGGAGCCATGAAGAGCAAAGGCATTTGGTTTTATTGTAAACATGATAAAAAGTAAAGACACAACATTGAGCAAAGCTCAAATATAATCTAGTTACTTTTAAAGGTCCGAATTGTTCCTCTGGGTGCTGAAAATAATGTATGTGGACTTGCATACACATGCTCATTTGTGTAGACTAAGAAGCAGATAGGCCAGTTTGGACACAGGGAGCTGGAAGAACAAGAAAGGATAAAATAGAGTTGTGGATTAATGTTTTGCCCCGTTCACGAACCCCAAAAGACCAGGAATAAACAGACTCCACTGTAAATACATGAGGTTCTTTTTATTGTAAATTACAAGCTGCAGCTTGGGCCCACATCCCCCACCGCCAAAGCAGTGGGAGCCGAGCGCCGAGCGCCGTGCCCCGTGCCCAGGTTAATTGGGTGATTTAAAGATTCTGGTCCATCCCAGCATGCCCAAGGCAGGGGGGAATTCCTGCCTGGCAAGCATCTGTTGGTCAAAATGCTACATTTTGAATTTGCTATAGGAAGGTCTCCAGACCATAATGACCTGGTGTCCCTCCCTAGGGGGATAGGCCAGTTTCCTAGCAACTGTATCTCAGTGGGTGGGAAAAGAATGCAGTAAGGCAGTCCTTCCCTTCAGGGCATTACTGGA